TCCTGGTGCCACTCCCTATGGATTCCAATATAAGCCAACAAGCACACCAGGAAAGTCTTAACAGGAAGTCTAAGAGACAACGATAGAGTTCCCTAGTGTGCTGGAAGAAAATCGACTAATTCCTGGGTCCTACCCCAAAATATTATAATTCATTTAGTCAGGGAGGGTCAGGTCAGAAGCAGTGTCTGTCAACAGCCCTGGTTACAAAAGTTTTATCAAAACTACCAATTATGGGGGTAAGGAAAGCAGATGAAAAAATATCTATTTTAAAAAATAATATTGGATACTCTTCGAGAGAGTATAAGATTTCATGCAGTTAGCCAGCAATATACTGATTTCTGTACAGTTAACAGAAATAAAATTACCATGGCTTCATTTTCATTGTCTACAGCAGATCCAGGGACTCAGAATTGAGCTTTTTCTATTTTAGCACAAAATGTGAAAGATATTTTCTGGGCCCTCACAACCAGAGATTTTCCAGCCAATATGGTTTTTTGGTCAATGTTTTCTGAAGTATGAGGACTGCATTTCACTACCCTACGCAGATAGAAAAGACTCTACCGAGGCATAAGCTCTTCATGTAATTCTTTAGGCAGGGGTCACATTTATAGCTGCGGACCTAATTTGGCTTTCCATGGTCATCTTCAGGGCGGAGCAGCACCTCAGGCAGGCAGGAGGAGCTGCCTCAGTGTCTTTTGGAGAAAAGTTACAGCGCCACTTATCTAGAGAGAGGGTTGAGTGGACAAACCTAACAAGACATAGGCAGCTCCAAGTTGGAAAGAAAAGTTGAATTCTACTTTCAACTTCAGACAAGTCCTCCCACCTACTTTAATACTGAATCAAATGAATGAAAACCAACCCCAAAGCCAGCTTTCAAATGCTTCCTTCTCAATGAAGTGCAGTCCACATGGAGAAAGCACCTGCCCACCAGTGAGAAGCCTCAGAGGAGCGGGCCTGTGTAAGCTGGGGCTCCTGTCTAGTAGTAGCCACCCTCTGCTGGAAGGGTTGTACAGGCTTCTGTACATATTGTACAGCACTTCCATATTTAGAACTAAGGCTGAGGAATAGCTACAAATGTCAGACAGAAGTGTGCAGAGACAGTGGCTGTTCACCATCTCTCAGCGCTGCTGGGTCACTTGGATTCCTTCCCGTCCCATGTGGACAAGTATCCTCGGATGTTCAGATGAAAAGGACAGTGTGAATCCATGGAGAACATCAATCATATTCGAAAAGCCAAATAAAGTTTCAGAAATGCTTCTGAATACAAAATAGATGATGGAAACATGAAGGCCAGTGAATGAAACTGCTCTCCCTTTTAATCAGTTTTACAGATTGACGCCATACAGCAGTAATCACATTGGGAGACAGGATGGGCTTCCTGTTCATATACAAGATTGTGCAAGCTCATGGACTGAGGCTTCAAAGTGTTACCAGTTTCAAGACAGGAGGCAGTACAAAGCTTTTTAGTACAGGGGAAGCACAGGAGGAGACGGTAGACAAGACGATTACCTTGGCAGAGGCGAGTTAAGGTGAGAGGACAGTGCTGCTGGGCCTTCCTCTATCCTGAGCTCTGGCGGTGGCTCGTGCTGCTCCACAGGACTCTGCAGCTCAACCACAGCTCTCCTGCTGCAGCAGATCTACCTTCATGTCTCCAAGTGTTCTCATGAGTAATAGAGCTATTCTTGGTCATCCTGCTTCTTGGTAACCTACATTCTAACATACATTAAGTCATAAAGTAATTACTAATCTTGCAAATCTTTCAAGAATTTTGGCATTCAGAACATCTCAAATACCCCATTACTGTTAATCCACTTACTAAAACTGTTTTTTGAGTTTCAAGAAGACGGTTTCTGACACCCCCCCCCCCATTGTAACAATTACATATAGACTCAACTAAAGGGAGGGAAAACAGATTTTTCTTCAAAGGAACAAATCAGGGATGGAAAGGCAGAAGGCCACCCAGGCTACACCGCTGAGGACGCTAACTGCACTACATTTCTATCACGTCTATGCAGTCCACTAACACTATTCACCAGCCTTTGAACAAGCATGTTCCTGCCTTCCCTCTTCATACCCACTGTCAGCAGAGAAGACATTTTCAAGACTCATACATTTAAAACACTTAGCTGACCTTTACTTGGCCCAAACTGGAATTCTTACAGCAAGCAATAGGAAGCTGGTGCCTAGGTTTGGCAACTGTCAGGTACCAGTTCATATGGCAAGAACACAGCTCCATACTGTTTCGGCTGGATTTTTGTTGTCCTGCTTATGCACCTTAGGAACATGTATTTGTAAAGTCCACTTTAAACACAGRCTTCCAGGATATAACAGAAAAAGAAAACCATGCATCATAGCTATTTTCAATCTCCCAGAAAGCCTAATTTTCTTACCTATCTGTATAAAAGATTTTCCTAAGCAGGTTTTTATAAAGGAAAAAAAAAAAAGCAATTATTATGGCTGAGGTTTTACCTAAAGTGAAGAGAAACAACAAAATATTCACTAGGTTTTTTTCCTAAAAAAAAAAACTTTATAAGAAAAGACTGTGTTCAATCTGTATTTCTCTTACTTCCAGAAACAAAATATTAATACAAAAATGGTTTTTCTTTTCTTTAAGAAAATTCCATGAGACTGCAGTGAGCTGAGCTATTGTATCTCCATAGAATGTGCATTAACTCTGTAAGTTCTGTATAATAACTGGTGGCTCCTGAATGTTCCCAATGGTGATTTTGTACCTTTGCACTAATCCTTCATGTAAAACAAGTATTAGAAGGTAGTAAAAAAGCCTTGAAGAACAACTGTTCCTCTTTCCTCCCCAAACGTAATAGTCATTTTTCTGTCTCACATACTGTCATTGCCATACAGAGAATAACTGATTCAGAAATCAACACTTTAAGAAATACTATCATGAACCCAGAGAGGTGATGGTTAATGATGAAGTCCCCCTGCTCCTGAAAGGGACTTTAGGGGGAGCCGTCCCTGGAACGGCTGTCCTATGCTTCTTGGTCAGCTTCTGAATCAACGGTTCTACGTCAATACTGCTTGAGCACTGCAGAACCCCAATTCTTGCCTGCAATGTAGCCCAACACCCCAAATCCACCACCTCTCTTCCACAGAAAAGAACCCTGGTGCAATGTCCACATCTTCATATTTATTTCCACAGTGATAAAACATGGAATATATTTAGCTACCATAGTAGAGGAAAAAAAATCTTTCATTGATTTATGATTTAAGTCCCATAACAATGAATCCAACTCTTCTAAGTCTTCAGTTGACTAACATTTACTCAATCAAATGCTGAAGTAAACGGACCCCCATCTAGGTCTCAGAAGTCATGTCATACAGTTTGTCTTATAATGTACTTATGATGGGTTGTGACTTCTAATACTCAAGCAGGGTTGTTAGTGAGCGACAGCCCATGAAGCACATGGCTTTCTACATGGATTTTTTTTCTTTTGCAGTGATGGAGATTGGAACAAAGGCCTTATGCATGTTAGGCAAGTGCTATACCTCTGAGCCATAACTACAGCCCCCAAATTCACTTGTTTTTTGTGTGTGGGGCTGTGACTTGAACCCTGGGCTTTGAGCATGCCAGGCAAGCATTCTACCACTGAGTGACTTCCCAGCCCTGTACATGGATTTCTTGACCTAACATTCAAAAGGACATTTTGTAGTACTAATTTAATTTTGATCTTTCCCTAAAAGACAGAAACCACATCCCACACTCCTATGTATAACTTATTATTTGGGTGTTTTAAAATAAATGAGCAAGAAGTGGAGGCATGAAAAAAAATCCAGCTTCTTTTGGCATTAGGAGACACAGAGATCTCAAGAAGAGAGCAGACAGCTTCTGTATCCACCTGCTCATGGCTAGTTGTCACAGTTCCCTTAAAAACAAATGCCTAAAATTGCTGCCAGCAATGAGGGGCTCAATGGGATTGTGTTTGTTAGAAGATAAACATGTTTAGGAAACATACAAAGCAGAACAAGTTGGTGATGGCCTATGTACAAGATTTGTGCTTGAAGCTTTGGTGTACCTCCTGGGCCAGTTGCTCGGACACCAAAGCCCATTCCTGATTAATTATCAATACACAATTCAAACCAAACTACTGAAACACGTTACTTTTTTTCAGAATAGGGAAATAAAGGCACAGAAACCTGTCAAAATAGATTTTTTTTCCATAAGAATAGTATGGTTGGTTAAAATAGTTTATCACTAGTAAAACCTGTATCACTAGAGCAGACAATACAAATTAGTTTTAAAAAAAATGACATTCACTGAATTCCTGGTCTGTGCATTCAATGTGAATAATCATCAAAAATATATTACAATTAAAGGTTTATAAGGAGCTCTGTCTGGGGTTTCTATAGCATATTTAGTATTTTAGATGAGAAGTACCACACKGATATCTTGGCTGTCTACTGTTCCTTTTTATGTCACCTAGAGAGTCTGTCTCTTAGGAGTGCAGGTTCACGTGCTTCCACAGAATGCTGTGCCTACATGACCTCCTCAGGGACTTCCAGACTCCTCATCAGACTCCACATCTAAGAGTTCAATGACCTGTATGACACTTTAATAAATATTTCTGTTTTTTGCTTTTAAGCTCAGCTTAAATTTTGTCAAGGAAACCATTTCACAAGAGGGTTTTTCACAACCTACTATCAGCAATATTCCTTGTTTATTAGAATCTGAAGATGTCCATATTACATCAAATATAAATATATATTATATTTACATTTCCTTCTTAGCTTTTCAACTTAGGTGAGTGTATTTATAGATAATGCCACAAATGCACCACTATTATAACCCTCAGTGCAGCTGGTATCTTTCTTCTATTAGATGCATATAAGACAGCATCTTAAAAGAGGTGTACTGTTCTTTTTAAAACAATAGGAAAGAATGGGGTATCCATGAATGGATGTCTAGGAATTCCTTAAGAGATTCTGTTCTGTTTTTCAATATTTCAAAATACCTGAAAAAATGTGGTCCCTTTTTGCAGTACTATTCTCTACTTGGGGACAAGAAAATTAAATATGCAACTTAGAAAGGAAAAGAGCCCAAAGAAAAGAGAACCTGCTTGTTAGCTCATTAATCTGTTTTAGTAAAGATCTGTTTTAAAATGTCTGAATGCTGTACAATATTATACAAAAACAATCTTCAGCCTTCAAAGCAGCTGCTGCATTTTCTTAGAGATCTGTTTGCCTGACTAACAGTCTGCTGCCATGGTGGGCCTTTGTCTTGGTCACTTTCGGTCATCAATGGTTTTAATGAATTCTACTGCTGCTGTGAACTGCATCCACCAATAGGACTCTTCTCCAGACAGACAGCTGGCATAGAAGCTGCTGATGTACTGCACAGTGGACAGCAGGCAAGGTGGGTTTGCCTAGAGAAGTGAAAAATGAACAAGTCAATTACTCAGATGCTAAGCTCTGCCCAAGTCATCTTAGCATGTGTTCTTTAAATTTTTTTTTTTTTTTGTGTGTGTGTGTGTGAGAAAGAAATACCAGTCCTTTTGAAACTAAACCCTAAATTGCTTTTTGGAAGTAATCTATAAACAATATACTGGAAAGACAGTTGGGTTCTAATTCTAGCTGAACTACCCAGAGCCTTCCATCCTGGCAAATCACCTAATCTTGGTAGCCCTTCAGGTGACTGAACTAATCTCCATAATCTTCTTCAACAGTCAAGGATTCCAGAAAGTTAGATAAGAAAATAAATGCTGTAGGCTAACTGATAATATCTGGTTAGGAAGTCCTGGTAGAATCAGCTGAGAGTAAAAATAAATAAATAAAAAAGGTAATGTGCCCCCTATAGCCAAGAGGGGACACAGAACATCTTCTGTTTGTTCACTTTCTTTCACATTAACAGAAAGGACATATGCTATTAAATAGTTAATAAGACGATAAGCTGAGCCCCCTTCCTTAAAATCTGTTCAAAATGGCTCTGCAGAAGGACTAGCCAGATCACACTCAGAATAGAGAACAGCAAAGGCCAGGAGAAGTTGCACCTGCCTGTGTGTGGGGTTTCTGACTCTGAGCCAAAAGTTTCAGTTGCAGAAATATCACCAATACTAAAGATTAGGAAGATATATGTCAGACATACTTTAGATATCAGCGGCTGGGGTGTGCTAATATTGAGTGATGTCACCTGGGGCTGTGTGCACCCAAACTGCATGGTCACACCCAAAATGTTCAAAATAAAATGTTTAAGTGAACTGCAATTTTAGAGTTCAAAGAAAGACAAAGGGATATATAGCTCAGTTGGTAGAGTGCTTTCCTCACATGCACAAAGCTCTGGGTTCAATTCCTAGCACCATTAAAAAAAAAAAAAGACAAAAGATGTCAATACTTTTTAAAATAACGAAGTATAATTATAAAATAAGAGGCTCAAAGAAGAGAGAAGTGATTGGTAAATCTGGTGGTCTATTTAACAACCATTATAAAGAATTCCATGTGAAAGAAGATTACAAAAGTACAATAAAAAGAACCTGTTTTCATTCACTCAAGGATGACACATTAAGCCCCAATTAAGATCTATAGGGGGCTGGGGATGTGGCTCAAGCGGTAGCGAGCTCGCCTGGCATGCGTGCGGCCCAGGTTCGATCCTCAGCACCACATACCAACAAAGATGTTGTGTCTGCCGAGAACTAAAAAATAAATATTAAAAAAAAAAAAATAAGACCTTCCTAGCCCCAAGTTCTCTTGTAAACTCAGAAAGGTCTTAAAAAAAAAAAAAAAAAAAAAAAAGATCTATAGGCACTGGGCTGGGTTTGTGGCTCAGCGGTAGAGTGGTCGACTAGCATGTGTGAGGCACTAAGTTCGATCCTTAGTGCCACATAAAAAAATAAATAAGTGAAATAAAGGTATTGTGTCCATCTACAACTAAAAAAAAAAAAATGAAGAAAAAAAAAGAACTCCTATAGTTCCTATAAACTACTTAGTTTCCTATAAACTACTTAGATACTGAAAATGTTCATCTAGGAACTGATCCTCTCTTGCTTTGTTTTGAAAACTGTGACTTCTAAACAGAACAAATCTTGACATTATACACTTTCTTTCTGGATAACACAGGATTTGAGATGGAGAAGAGTCCAGGTCTCTAACACTACACCACATTAAGCCCTGTGCCACCCTACTCAGGATGCCACCTAAACTCTTTAACTGATAGTAGTAAGAGACCCACCTTTATCAACACAAACACCAACACAGGAACAAAGTCATCAGCTCCAGGGACAGAGTCCTCATTGGCCAGGCTCAGGAGGTTCATAATTGTAGAGCACATTCTCAGGATGCACTGCACTTTGTCCCGGGGGGTTTTATAAGCACTTATTGTCCTGATTTCTGATTGTGCAGATGGCCACGGTGCTTCCCGAAGATAAACCTAAGTGAGACCACAGATAATAACAGACCCTCAATACAAGGGCAATGATCTGTTGGAGTGACCATGGCAACCTCCAACCCAAGTCAGGGACAGGCTAAGGTGGCTGCTTTCCTCTTTCTTCAGTAAAACTGGACTTCAGGTCCTTCCCCTTCCACCCAAGATTATGGTTATCTTTTAAATGTTTATGTAATATACTTTGTATTTTAAAATAGAGCAACACAGATATACATTAATAGAAAGGGTATCCAATAACAAAGAACCAAGAATTCATAAAATTTCAATGATCCTTTTTTTTTTTTTTTTTAGAAAGAGAGAGAGAGAGAGAAAGAGAGAAAATTTTAATATTTATTTTTTAGTTTTCGGAGACACAACATCTTTGTTTGTATGTAGTGCTGAGGATCGAACCTGGGCCGCACGCATGCCAGGCGAGCGCGCTACCGCTTGAGCCACGTCCCCAGCCCCAATAATTCTTCTTAAATAGCTAGAAAAGGACTTTTGTACATTTAATAGCATGAACAAGCTATTAAAACAAGATAATTTAAGAATATATACTTTCTTACAGTAGTTCTTGAAATGAGATCCAAAAATAAAAAAAATTAAAAATTTTATGCCAATTAATGTTTCATTTGTGGGGAATTTAATAAAAACAACCAGAACTAGCTCAAATAGCTGACATTTTCCAGATTTCTTATTTTGTAAGAGATGTATGCCAGGTAAAAATGCTAGTATCAATAACTAAAAGGTAATTTGAGACCATGCCATATTTAATTACTTCTTTTGGAACAAAATTCCTCACCCTCTTTGGAGTGCCACAAGCCCCTTCTTCAAATGGGATGGCTGTGTGGAAACAAGACTGTAAGAACACCAAGACAGGGCTGGGGATGTGGCTCAAGTGGTAGCGCGCTCACCTGGCATGCGTGCGGCCCGGGTTCGATCCTCAGCACCACATACCAACAAAGATGTTGTGTCTGCCGAGAACTAAAAAATAAAAATAAAAAATAAAAAAATAAAAAAAAAAAATGAACACCAAGACAGCTCGCTGCCCAGGAAGGCAGGGCTTGGGACAGAAGCCAGCAGCTCTGGGGAGGCACTCTCCTCCTCTCCTCTACTGAGGGCCCTTTCTATGCCAGGGAAATTTAACCCTGGGAACATGACAGAGTAAAGAGTATCTAGTACAAACGGTGCTTTCTATTTTATCACACTACAGTTCCCTGACATAGTGGTAATATGCACATGGTACACCATGCAGCTTAGTTAACATGTAACCCATGGTAAATAAACCTGTATTACCTCTGGGATCTGAAGAGCTCTGTGATTTGCAGTCACTACTTTAGACAATCTCTGGATATGTTCATGAAGAACCCTGAAAACCAAAATGCAAATGTAAATATACATTTCAGAAAATAAGGCATAAAAAAGCCAATTTTTTTCAAAACACTCAAAGTATTTTAGACTTATTTATATATGCAGATTACAAGTACAGTTGAGACTCTCATGGCCATAAATTTTCTWTTTTATCAGAAAAGGTTCAGATTTAGGATCTGCTTAGAAATGCCAAATGAGCTGTGGGGATGCAGATGGGGTAGGGGAATCCTCCTTTCCTGGACTAGGACAGCATTCCAAGGAACAGAGGAGAGAGCCCTTAGCTTGAACACACTGCTTAGTAAAGGAGAGGAAAAAGAAGAAAGTGAGAGAAAGTAAGAAGGATCAAGAGCCGGAAACCAAAGATCAGGCTTTCAGATGGAGAAGGGACTCTGCCATTCACCAGTCCCACACTTTGTATGTGAAAACAGGATTTAAAGGTATAGGATTTGCCTCAGTAGCAGGAGCTAGAATAGCTTCTTGACTTCCAGTGTCTGGAAAGATCCAGACACTGTTTATTGTCTTTAAACCTGCAGAAATGCCATGAAGGAGTGGGTAGGAATAGTCTGCTTCAAAGTTGTTCTCTGCAGTAAATGTAACTTTAATATCCCATTCTATATTCCATGCCTAACACCAGAAATTGGTGCTCTGGAGAGAGAAAAGGCCCTGGGGTAGGCTAACAACCTCGGAGATGAAGAACACATGAGAGAGGCAAGTTGGAACAACTCTAAGTGATTTCACAAGAATGTGAATTCTCTCAAATTTATGTGCAACCTCTTAAAATTTCTGTAGGCCTGGGGGTGTAGCTCAGTAGAGAGTGTTTGCCTAGCATGCATAAGGCCCTGGGTTGCATCCCACAAAAACAAAACTTGCATAAACTATTAATAACCCTTCTCTGAGATCCTATTGCACAGACCCCTATTAGTTACTGGGCTGGGAAGCATGGAGATAACTGTTACACACTTAGGGCAAAAGTAGGACTGCAGAGCAGTACTTAGGAAAAAAAAAAAAAGAGTAATAACGGATAAAACACTTAGGGCAAACRTAGGACTGAAGAGCAGTACTCAGGAAAATTAAGAAGAGTAATAATGAAAATGATAATTCCTCCATAGTCTCAATCCCCAAAATACCCAATGTCACTATTCTACATTTTTTGGGGGGGAGGGTGGGAGTGGGATGGCGGTTGCCTTTTTTTTTTTTTTAATTTTTATTTTTTGAGATAGGGTCTTGCTAAATTGCTTAGGGCCTCGCTAAGTTCCTAAGGATGGCCTTGAACTTACCATCTCCTACCTTGGCCTTCTAAGCCACTGGGATTACTTCTTATTTAATATTTTTGCAGTAGGCATCAAACCCAGGTCCTTTTGTACTCTACCACTTAACTACATCCCAAGCTCTCAATATTACTTTCTAAAACACTTTTATTCAGACATAACTCACATACCATATAATTGCTGATATTTGTTGATAGTCAAATATATAACTGTTCATTCCTAATAAATCTATAATGAGTACATATTAGAAGCCAGACACGTGCTTGATGCGATGACATTCATTCTCTCACAGAAGGGACAATCCAGTAGGAGAGAGAGCATTTATCAAATGATTACACAAACTAGTAATCAAGAACAGGAGAAAATCATTACCCTAAGTACATGTATGAAGATACAAATGGTGTGAATATACTTTGTATATAACCAGGAATATGAAAAATTATGTTCTATATGTATAATATGAATTGTAATGCATTCTGCTGTTATATATAACAAAGTAGAATAAAAAATAAAAATAAACAAAATTTAAAAAAAGAAGAAGAACAGGAGAGAATTTCATTCCCCAGAGACATCTGGCAATGTCTGAAAACATTTTTGGTTGTCACAATTGGTTGGGCATTACTACACCTAGGGTGTTCAGGCAGGAATGCTGCCAAACACCCTAACATCTATAGGACAGCCTAGTCTTCACAAAGAACTGCCTGATCTCAAAAGTCAGTAGTGCTGGGTTGAGAAACCTTGACTTAAATAAATGGCAAATAACAATAAATGCAAGTACTAGGCCTGAGACAGCCCTAAGGGAATTTAAGCTAGTCAGGAAAAGTTTCCCAAGGAAATGATGCTTGAATTGAAATGTGAATGATAAATAAGAGTTAATCAGACAGAGAAAGCAGGGAAGAACATTTGAGGGAGAATACAAAGCTGTGCCTTCCAAAAAGGCCACACAAATTCATATACTTGCCAGCCTGATGACCTTCCTGAAAACTGGGTATTTATTATTATTTTTAAATTGTTATTATTATTATTATTTTTGGTGGTGCTGGGGATTGAACATAGGACCTCATGTATACTACACAAGTATATACTACCACTGAGTTATATCCCAGGCCTTTTTCTAATTTTTTGAGACAGGGCCTTGTTGGCCTCAAATTTGTCATCTTCCTCATGTATGTCCCCCAAGCATCTGGGATTACAGATAAGCCCCTCCATGTCCTACTTATCATTCTTTTGAATTGCGTAACTCTCATGGGTAAAAAATGATAACTGAGACATTTCCTTTATTATCAGATGCTAAACCACAGGTACGGCTTGCCTAAAGTATGGGGCTACCTGATACACACATCCAGCACAGGCACTCAACACAGAAGCACTCACTGATCACGAAGGATATCCCCATCCTGATTAGGGTAGAAGGCAAGCTTGAAAATGCGATTCATCACACTTCGTTCGATGGCCAGCTGAGCATCCTGCAGCTGCTCTTCACTTGCATTTTGCCATATGACATCCTGGGCCATTGCACCATAAAGAAACTGTAGAAAATCTTCTACCTGAGCAGTTTTATCATCAGCTGCTGTGAGTTTCTGAAAATCTCCAATGCACAAACAATAATTTTTAAAATACATCATATGAATAAACTTAAAAAGGAAATTTTAGAACTTCCCCATTTTCCTGTTTCATTTCCCTTCAATCCAACATATTAAATGGAAAATTCTAGAAATAAACAATTCATAAGTTTTGAATTGCAAGCTATTTCTTGGTAGGCATCTCATTATAGGTTATAGGTATAGCATATAGAGATCAGTATTAGACCTAGTTTCAGGCATCTGCGGGGGGGGGGGG